TGAAAAACCAAATCAATTCTACTCCTCCCTGTCGCATTTTTTTGGCATTTTTTACCATTCATTCCTGTTTCACAAAATACTCTACAAACGTTTTTTATTTCACATTCTATAACATAAAATGGCAAAGTAAGTCTCATTATAATGTTGAATGGGCAAAAAGAAAGCATAATATTTCATATTGAATATGTATGAATATCTATGGGGAAATAATTGATAGTAATAAGTCCAACACTTACATATACATGCCTGTCTAGTGGATGATAAATATTTGCTCAGAGGTATTCCGTGTCAAAGCTGAAGCCTGACTCCTGCAGCTCGAGATGTGATGAAGAGTCACAGAGGCCCAGGAGGTGGTCCGACTACAGCCCACTGCCAGGGCACTTATCCTGGGTAAACTCCTCACACTGAGCCCCTCTGTTCTCCATGCCCCGCTGGAGCTTCCTGGCACAGCGTCCTATCACTTAAAACACCAGAGATAGACGGAGAGAGGGCTGAAAAGACCAAGCGAGGGAGTGAGGGAGGCTTTCTTCATCCCTGAGCTTTACTGAGCAAACAAACATCCATTTCCTCCACGACCAGGAGACAGGATATATTCAGTTCCTGCCACTGACACACTTCATTTATTACATAAGCATGGAACTTGAGTCGATTGGTCAGGTGCATTTACTGTACTCATAAATAATAATAATATCAATTATTTTACATTTTAATGACACCTTCTTTCCTCTCGAAAAGAGCTTTACAGCCTGGTCCAAAAGTTGGCTCTTAAGTTGGCGCAACGATACGTTCCAGTTTTGTCTCAATGCTGAGAGGAGTTTTTTGTTTTTTTTTTGGACCAGCCTAGTTTAGCCGCCATGGACAGTCATGAGACAAGCAGAGGCGTCCCTTGCCATTAGGCAAGGCAGGCAGCTGCCTGGGGCCCCCAAACCGGCAGGGGGCCCCCGAGGGCCGACTGATTTGACACAAGCGGTCGACTTGGCTACAACAGCTACCTCTAGTGACGAGTTGGCGGAAAAAAGTTGGCCCTGGGGTACCCTTGGAACGCCACTGGAGACAAGGAGACATCAGATGGTTGCATTGTTCAATTAGCATTTATTGTCAGAAGGAGTGAGCAAGAACCCAGACAGCTCCCAAGTCTGGTCCATGACCGCTCTTGCAGAAGTCTGCAAAAGTCAAGAGTTTAGAGTCCCCTGCAACTGAACCAAACCCACACGGACTATGAACACGAGAATATATCTGTAATCTCTTCCAAACTGCTGAGTCTTGAAGTTGTAGCTGCAACATTAGTTAATCCAACTCTTTCAAAGGTTATGGTTATCCAAAGCAAAAACCTTGCATGGAGACCAGCAGGTGGATGCCTCCTCGGGACAATAGGCTTTCCCCTGCCCAGATACACAGATTAGTCTTGCAGTTGTTTCATGCAATAAAATCCTTTTCTTTCATTTTATTGGGCTTAAATGTTACAGGCTTTAAATGTTTTTTCCACTGTAAAGATTTTGATAACCCCCAAATGTAAAGTGCACAAATCCAAATGTACATAATTAATTACTCCACGGAGCTGGGGAGCAGTTAGAGCACAACAGACCATTGTTTTCCCTGTAAATTGTTATACTCAAGCTGTTTTGCAGACTCCCTTATGTCTGTCCAATAGACTTTCATGTTGCTTAACAAAGCCTGCTAATGTCCATTCCAACACTGTGAAATCTTGGAATACTTATCTGAATCTAGTTAAAGGATTTGTTGGAAATAGATTAAACTAAACTGACTTTTGAGGCTTTTAAGGCCGTAAATGCTCTGATCGACATCCAATACATTTATTTACTGATGCATATTGCGTTAGTGTTTGTGTTTACATGAATCCCACATGGCCTCCTCCTGGACACAAACAGCTGTCGACATGCTTCAGTCACGAAGGCACAGAAAGCCTGTAGGGACAAGATATAGCAAGAACTGCAAAAATATCTCACGTTTATACATTTATTCGTCTTTCAGATCCAAATTGTTTCTGCTACAATTGGAGCATTCTTTGATTGACACAAAATCTTAAGGTTTTATACATGCCTGCCAGTATTGTAAGCTGCCTCACTGTTCGGTCATAAAGACAAAGCAAAGTATAGTTGAAAGCAGCCACATCGCCACATGATGCACTGCCCTGGGATACTCTCTGGGTGTGGACAGTGTGGTCAAGACTTAATAACTGACTTACCTTCCAAGTATCCCTTTATACGAGGGACACTATATACAAGGCTGACCGGCAGTGAGGGGGACAGGACTCTCCATACAAAGACGGACAGAACTCTCTATATGAAAACTAATAATACTCAAGAAGACATTTCTAGACATCCTAACAGGGGTCATTCCAAACCACACTTCCACATGCTGCTTTCTTTACCAATTTGTCTTCTTTATGTAACCAGTGCACAGTTTTGTTGAACTGTCATCTATTTTGTTCCTGGTTGTTTGGCAGAACGGCAAGCAGAGCTACTCTAACAACATTGTCATCCAACAAAATCATTCTCATCTACTAGAACTTCAATTACAAGACTTGATCAATTTTATAATTGCTGTACGTACAGTTTAAGAGGAAATATAAATATAGTGTGTGGAGTTAATCTTAGGAACAACTCAAGACATTAAATTAAATATATTTATGTTATATAGTTCTTGTTTCTTTTTTAAAATGAACCACTGAACACTCCCTCTGAGTGATGAGAGAGAGGTATAGGATCAGAGAGTCTTTGGTCCTGTGTCTTGTCTGAGTGAGTCTGCACGTTTGTGTTTTGTGTTGTATAAGTGAGAGGGGTCCAACCCCATTTAAAACGTTGTATTTCTGTTTATTTATATTTGTATGAAATGTACATATGCTTGAAAGCAATAACTTCAACATAATCTTTAACAAGAAAGAACAAAAATCCATGTCGTTGTAGCCAGCCGTTTATTCACCAAGAGAATGTTCTGCAATTTACAACAGAGAGTGACTTTGTATTTTGAATTCCCACATATCTCAAGGGCAAGACACTTAACCCCACTTTGCCCAAAGCCCCCACTGAAAGATCAAGGCTATGCTCACACTCAGAGAGCAGCCGTCCTCCTGTGGACTCACCACCTGCAGAGGGTCAGTGAGGGGCTGGTGCTATGAGACTTGGGTGGCATCTCTGACTGCCACCCCCCTGACCCAGAAATGGATTAAAGGGTAGAAAATGGATGGATGGATGGACATATCTCAAGAGCATTAATGAGGTACTTTCTTTCATACTGCAGGAGTGCTCTCCTTATGCTGCACACCTGTTCGATGCAGAGGATGCTAACACCGCCATGCGACTGCTGCCTGGTTTGTGCAAGGACTACTGTCTGGATTATTGGCAGCAGTGTCGATACACGCTGAGCCTGCTTCTGGAGGACCAGAGGAACGCACAGCAGGTCTACAACATGACTTCTGCGCTGGAGGAGGACAGCAAACTCTTCTGTGACTTTCTAGAACTTAAAGACCGACAGTACTGCTACCCCAACGTCCTGAGCAACGAAGGTACGAACAGGAGAGAACACATCATTTAGAACAGCTTTTTAGCAAGAAGGCCACTTTAGTTTTCTAGGCCAGTCCAGGGGCCTAAACTCAGATTGTACAACGGTTTTGTCTCGGATGTTTTCCGGTATCAGTTATAAGTTTCATAAGGAGGTATGACACCATTCCTATATTAATTCACATTTGACAAAAGCTAAGTTAATAATAATAATAACAGAGAGCATTTTATTCAGCGCTTTTTGGACACTTCTTTCACTCCATACACAACGGCTACTAATGTAGCCACATCTGTCCTCGGGCACACTGACAGAAGTGAGGCAGTATGTGCCATCGGCCCCTCAGATCACAACCAACCATAACCGGAGCAGGCACTTCAATGTGGGTGAAGTGTCTTGCCAAAAGACACAACCACAGTTTGGCACTTTACAGCCGCAGCCGCCCCACTGTGGCACCTCGTGTTCCCAGAGGTCTTCCATCACAGCACTAACCAGGCCCTGTCCTGATTAGCTTCAGAGTTCTGACGGGATCTGGGTGACCAGTTGACTGAAATCAAATCTTTACTCTCATCTCATAGACTACATTAGCCCTTTATACTTAAAGTTAATAAACTTGCCCTGCTTCAAACAGAATTTTGTCACAATCAAAACCAATGTCAGTTTACTACAGTCAACGACTGGATTCCAGAGGTATGAGAGGCCTCATACTGTCTGTCTTCTTCAAATCCACTTTGAATTTGAATTGAATTTGTATTTGCTCCAACCACGAGCACAGCCTAACAAAAATGTGGTCATATATGCCGAATTAGACAGTAAGTGGTTGCTAATACAGATGACAAAAACTTTCACAAATAACATAATATTCACTCACTTTTTTTATACCTTCCCAGAGTTGAACGCGAACCTGGGCTCTGTGCGGGAGGACCCTAAAGGCTGTCTGGAGCTGTGCTTGGAAGAGGTAGCCAACGGGCTACGGAACCCTGTGGCGATGATCCATGCAGACGACGGCTCTCATCGCTTCTTTGTGGCCGAGCAGCTGGGCTACGTATGGGTCTATCTGCCCAACGGCTCCCGCATTGACCGGCCCTTCCTCAACCTGACCGAGGCGGTGCTCACCTCCCCCTGGGCTGGAGACGAGAGGGGCTTTCTCTGCATCGCGCTGCACCCCAGGTGAGGTTTGGAACACGCTCGGCCCAAGATGAACCTTCAAAATGTGTTTTATTCATTGTTTTGATTTGGATTGTTGTGCCCTTTAGGTTTAGCACAGTGAAGAAAGCCTATGTCTACTACTCTGTGTCAGAAAAAAAGGAGGAGAAAATCAGAATCAGTGAGTTCACGCTTTCAGTCCACGATGACAACCAGCTGGACCACTCTTCCGAGAGGTAAGACCAAAACTAGTTTATTTACATTTTAAGTACGTGTTTGCACCACCACCAGACTTAATATTCATTACAGAGATTACATTTCATAGATTTTAAGAGACCAGAAAGGAGCTCTGCAATCACAGTAAAGCTTACAACAACTAGTACGCTAACAGAATCTTACAAATGTTCATTAGATCTAATTTTATAACATCTTCAACAGGGACATCATATTTTAACTGAAACATTCTCTGCAAACATTCTGTGCAAAACAACCCAGTCTAGAAATACAATGGACCAAGTTTTGCTCCAACTCGCTCTGGCTCCTTTTTGAATTACATTGAAAATTAACTCCTCGAACTTTTGTAAGCAGCACGTTAGTTTGCATCTGCTCCTGTTACGGCGCAAAGCGAACCCCATCAAAACAAATTCCCATATTAGAAAATTGGCTCTAGAGCTTATGTTCAAATCAATTTCCTCCGTATTGAGCAAACACTAAGGTTGAGGTCATCCCTTGGTCAGTCCACTCCTAACAGACAGTCTATGGTAATATCTAGTGCTACTGATAGGGATTGTACTAAGGATTTACATTAAAATTCTGTTTCAGGACTATTCTTGAGGTGGTGGAGCCCGCATCCAATCACAACGGTGGTCAGCTTCTGTTCGGTCACGATGGTTACCTGTATATCTTTATCGGTGATGGTGGCCGGGCTGGTGACCCCTTTGGAAAGTTTGGCAATTCTCAAAACAAGTAAGAATCAACACATTTTTTCAATACAATACAATAGCTCTTTTAATATGATTGTCCATTACTCTTTAGAATTGTAAGAGGGACTTTGAACGCCAGTACTGGTTAGACAATCCATGACCGACATTATTCCACCTCCATGGTCGGCAGAATTACTATTGCAACAACACATCATCAGTAGGGTAAAACTAATTGGTTTTATGATTCTCCTCTGCCTACATTAGTATTATCTCAAAAAACACTTTACATTACAGTACAGTGCCAGGTGGTCAAAATGTGCATTATTGTATGAATAAAGTAAATACATTTAAAGACACTGACATTTTTGCACCTCTAAAAGCAGATGTACTGTATTTTTAACTTTTTTTAAACCTGTTATTTTTCCTCCCTGGTCACTTGTATACTAAAGCTGGTGTTATTGACATTCTGCATGAGTCCATCTGGGAAAGCTGTAACATACATCCAGCCAAGTCCAATATTGAGTCTACACGACGCACAACCGCACACTGCCACAGGCTGTGCAGGGGGAAAAGTCCTGAGGGTTCAATGTGTCTGTTTTCTCCCTGAGGTCGACTCTTCTCGGCAAAGTGCTGAGGATTGATGTGGACAACAATGATGACGGAGCTCCTTACAGCATCCCATCTGACAACCCTTTTGTGAGGGAAAAACACTCCCGACCAGGTAATAATGAAAATAATAACAATGCATCAATTCTATATAGCGCTCAAAGATGCTTCACAGCATAACTCGTTCACTCCATACACAGTACAATAGCCACAGCTGCCCTGGGGCATATTGACCAAAGTAAGACAACCATCAGCCTCTCTGACCACCACTAATCGTTCACGCACACCAAACTCATTCTAGGCAAAGTGCTGCAGATGCCTCACTGTGGCACCTGGTGTTCCCAGAGGTCTCCCATCACAGTAATAACCAGGCCCTCCCCTGCTTAGCTTCAGAGGTCTGACAGGATCTGGCTTTCACATGCAGGTAGCACCAGGATAAGGCTATAAATGCGGTACAAATGCGGCTTTGGGTACAACATTTGTCTTCTCGATCTCATCCCCTCATGTGAAAAGTACAACACTTCCTACACACAATGCTCATTCAGTCAGTGCGTTCCCGTTAGTAATGTGAAATAAACCGGCTTAAAGTTCACCATCACGACACTGTTTATTTGTGTGGTTACTAGTATTTGAATTTTTGTAATTTATGTTTTTATGTCTGCAGAGATTTATGCGTACGGTGTTCGTAATATGTGGCGTTGTTCAATTGACCGCGGTGACCCCATGACCCGCAGTGGTAGAGGCCGCATGTTCTGTGGAGATGTTGGACAGAACAAATACGAGGAAGTGGACATCATCGAAAAAGGTATGACTCACTCTGCATTAAGTAGGTTGATGTCCATGTGTTTACATTTTTTGTATTTATTATGGTCATTTTAGTCTCTTAAGATGTCCTTTTAAAGTAGTGTTTTTCAACCAGTGTGCCATGGCGTGTTAGTGTGCCTCACGATCTTGTTTGGTGTTCCTTTGAAAATGATCCAATGACACCTAATAGGTCAAAATTTGAAAGAAAAATAGTGCGAGAAAGCTTGTTTGTGCTTGTTTGTTAATAAAATCTGCAGAGTTTCATGTGTGTCTCAGTTTCGGCTGGTGGTGTGCCATGTGATAGTTTTAAATTACAACGGCTCAAAAAGGTTGGGGGACACTGCTTTAAAGGGCTAAGTGAGTGTTTTGGAAAAAGTGTGCATGTGTTTGTTTCCTGTCCATCAAAGCTGTTCGTCTTTTTCAAAGGAGGGAACTATGGCTGGAGAGCAAAGGAAGGCTTCAGCTGTTACGACCGCAAACTCTGTCAAAACTCATCTCTGGGTAAGTCCACCACCCAGGCCCTTCCACCGAACTTCACTTCCATAAAGTTAGATATTTATCACCGTAATAACAGAGACTACAGATGTGCTCTTGAGCTAATAACTTCTGAGAAACAACAGCAGCAGATTTTGTTCTCCTCCCCCCATTCTTCTATAAAATGAATAGAATTTGTGTACATTTCTAAGATGACTCACCAGAGTTGGTCCATGTGTGTTTCTGGATGGATCTGGTGAGATTTCATTCTCCTCTACGCAGATGACATACTACCTATTTTTGCCTACCCGCACAAGCTGGGTAAGTCTGTGACAGGAGGGTACATCTACAGGGGCTGCCAGATGCCAAATCTCAACGGACTTTACATTTTTGGAGACTTCATGAGTGGGTGTGTGTTTCAACTTTTGACATTTGTCTTTTACCATGGCGAGAATTGTTATATCATGTAATGCCTAATGATGACTATATTTGTAGACGCCTGATGTCTTTGAAGGAAAATGCCCTGACTGGAGAATGGCAGTATAATGAGATCTGCATGGGGCGAGGTCAGACATGTCGCTTCCCCAAACTCATCGACAGCTACTATAAGTACATCATCTCTTTTGCTGAGGATGAAGCAGGTAAGGACCGCAAGTGCCTTGGAAATATTGCTCTTACAGGTACAAAATAACATATAATTCAATATATATTACATGCATTTCAACTGACTGTTTATTAACTATTCATAATCACAACAACAGTGACTACATCTATTCTTTCTCCCTAAAAAAGAATGACAAATACAAACAAATGCTTCAAAGGGATCTTAGTAATTTTGGCTTACAGTTGCTTCCAATTAAAAGAAGACACCACAGATTATAGGCACTTCAAACCGTCTGTTTCTAACACATAATTTAGCTTTGAAAAAGGCTTTTATCTTTGGCCTAAAATTGTCTTGCAAATGCTCACACATGTTTTTTCTTGTGTTGTCAGGGGAATTATACTTTCTGGCCACAGGATCTCCCAGTGCCACAGCCAGAGCAGGAGTCATATATAAAGTAGTGGACCCCTCCAGGTAACAGTCTGTTACTATGTGTTAATACTGTGTTTGATGCCATGGATGGATGTAAAAATCTGTAATTATGTTTTTAGGCGTGCACCTCCAGGAAAGTGCAGTGTAAAGCCTTCTCCTGTTAAAATAAAAGGAAAACTCATCCATTTCCATCCTAAAGAAGGTGAGAGCATTTTGTGGTTTTCTTTCTGGAAATACAGTGCCTTTAAAAGATCAAGATAATTTATTGTTTTTTTTTTTAACTTCTGAGTCAATGATTCAAGTACAGTTTCCCACCACACAGTGTTTTTCAAGAGCCAAAACGTAAAATTTGGTCTCATCTGACCACAGCACCTTCTTCTGCATGTTGGTCATATGTATACCATATGACTTTTTTGGCTTCATTTCAACGTTGAGAATCTGTTTGCCATAAAGGCCAGATTTGTGTTTGACTAAGATTCTACCGGTGGGCTGTGAATCTCCTCCTCCATAGTAACCTTTTTTCTTGCTATCTCTACCTCTTGCTCGAGCTGTGAGTTTGGGCAGACAGCTGTATCTTGGTAGTTTTGCAGTAGCCTGGTCGTACCACACCATAGTACAAATTACATTTCATACTAAGGTCTGGAGGTGCTCCATTGAGCTCCGTGAACAGGTGGGGGGGGGTCAACTCCTTTTGCAGATTGAAACGATTGGATCTGAGTTTACCGTGACGTATGTAATGCACCCGAGTGAGTCGTTAGCATTTAGCATTTAGCCTAGCTTTAGCCATCTCCTTTCAGATTCAGATTCAGATTCATTTATTGGCCATGTGCAGTATAAAAACTACATTGGAATACATTTGCAAAAAAAGGTACTCTGTGTGCACCGACAGAATAAAAAGCACGATACAATGTAATATAAAATACACATACACTGAATATAAAATAATAAAAAAAAACAGCTGACACTGTGGCACCGATCAACAAAACGATACAAGGGGTAAAAGCAGGAATTAAAGTGCTCTGTTTAGGCACCTAACAGCTTGTGGAAAGAAGCTGTTAGCATAGCAAGATGTCTTGCATCTCAGCGACCGATATCTTCTGCCAGAGGGAAGAAGCTGGAACATGGCTTTCCCAGGGTGGCCAGAAGAGTCACGTTGCCGCTAACGGAGCCCGTGGGGAGTAGCGCCACAATTTTTTCCAGCGATTACATTAGCTAAACATTCCTCTTTCTCCGGCTTCAATTTCTTGATAGAACCAGACCGGATTACTTTACTATCGCATTTTTCGCCATTGCCAAACTACAACCTGCCTGTTCGACGCAGACTCTTGACGTCAACCACAACTAACTACAACACCGCCTCCCACGCTCTCTGATTGGTCGTTCGAAATTCAACCGATTGTATTCGCTAACACAGGGACCAGACCCAGACGTTACATGCAGTGAAATGATGATTGAGCGGAGTGTACGGATGGATAAGGCCAGGCTATGTTGGATGTGGTGTCATACTGTTTCCATTATCAGAGGATGGATTGAGGAGTGCTCCGTGAGATGTTCAAAATAATGGAACCTTTTGTTAAATCTAAACATGCTTCTCCCTAACTTCTCTGATGGGTTGCTTGGACTTTGTGACCAACCTTCTCTTAACAAACCTTTGAGGTCATCATAGAATAGCTATAATTATATTGGGATTAGATTTGGTGTAATTTGACCATTTATTCCTAAAGCAGAAGGATTTTCCAGCCACTCTTTCCAGTTTTTTGTATAATATATGTTGTACCTGATGAACTATGGCTCAGAGAGGAGGAAGGCTCTGGTGTCTTTGTAAGGATAGAACAAGCGCCATCTACTGGATTTACATGTTTACTACAGTTGTAATGGTTCCTCATGGGTACCTTAAAAAAACAAACAGAGTAGACAATACGAGGGAGGGGAGAGGACAGAACATTTTAAATGTTTGCGTATTTATTCTCCGCTCTGAAATCATTGTCATTTCTGTATGCAGCACAATACCACGATACACAATACGACAAATATTGATATTGAGGGCAGAGGACTGTATAAGCTGACTCAATGCATGCTACAAAGAAGTGTTAAGCTCTCTCATTGTATGGTTTCTGCTTTCAGAGTTTGTAATTGACAAGAAGCTGACCACAACTCCTGTCCCCACCACAACAACTCGGACAACAACCACCACGAGAAGACCACTCCCTCCACTGAAGCCCCCCATCTTCAAACCCACTCCTCCACGCAGGAAAAGCAAATCCACTACTACCCCAACTACGACCAGGGCTCAGACCAAGATTCCAACCCGAAATCCCACCAGCACCCCAGTACCGACCACCGTGGCCTCCAGCACAACCCCTGAAAGGCCCCTACCCACCCTCACGTCCCCTGTCAGGACCACCGCTCAGGCCTCAGACAGGGCAGGTCCCAGCACAACACGGGGCGGAGGTGAGAGGCTAAAGCCAGAGAGAGTCCTCCTCTTCTCAGCATTCATTTGTGTGTTGATTTCTATGTTTTAGAACAATGCTTTGTCTGTAAATCAAAGGGGAGTGAAGAGAGACAGGTACTGGAGGGTTATTAGGCAGCTAAGTTTGATGTTGTAGGTGAAAGGAGGACTAGTATTCAGATACAATTGTTTTATTGTTTTGACATTTTGATAATTGACAAATCTTTATATTTCTTTCCTTGATTTTTTTTTTTTTTTTACATTATCTTGACCCTTGGACATGTTACTTGACTACCTACATATCTAAGAGGTTAATGGCAAAGAATCCTGTGGTGTGTGAGGCAGCTTATGACAAACATGAGTAATGTAGACCATAATATATACTTTACTGTATACATTTTTAAATCTGGCACTTTAGACAAATGAGCACTTTGTTTTGGTCCGAAAATAATATACCGTTTATAATGCCATCCATGTCAGAAGAATTAAGGTATAGGTTGTCTCTGTGGTACATAATTACATTTGAATCAATAATTTCCTTACCATTATTTCCCATGAAAAGGTCTGACAATGCATTTGGTAAACGCAGCATTGTGAAACTCAGGTAAGGTGGAGTTATCCTCTGTCTCAGCTTGACGGTCATTCAACTGTTACTCTATGGCGGGCCCACAGAAAAGATAATTGTGCTTTTTATGTAAGTTGATTGCACTAGTTTAGTTTTCAAATTTATTTAAACTTTGAATAAATGTTTCTGCTTCAGTTGTTGTTTGGACATTGTTTTTTGTGTCTGTGTCTAAGTTTTTGTTTTTTCCTCAAGAAGCTATGGATGTCCAGAGTGATGGGAACATATATAAATAAATACATTTTTATTAACCTCATATATGAAAACTTTAAACATGAAGTTCATTCAAGTGAAGGTTCTGTGTGTCCCTCAGGTATGTTGACCACACCCTCACCTAGGACTAGTGTCCCCATCTCCACACCTCTGTCTGGGACCTCCCCACGGCTGCCATATTGGAACCCTAAACCAACATCAACTTTGCACAAAACTACAAGAACTTCAACAAACAGCATCCAAATATCAACCAGAGAAGACAAGGTACGACTTGGGGAGAAACTCACCAACACTCGGGAGAGCAACCGGATCCACAAAAAGCACCGGCGCAAAGGAAGGAAGAGGGGTAAGAAACTGCGGGCTGGTTCTGTGCGTCTCATAGGTCCAGATGGACTCTCCGGTCGCGGCAGAGTGGAGATCTACATCCGTGGAGAGTGGGGGTCTGTGTGTGACGACCTGTTCAGCAGGACTGCTGGTACCGTAGTGTGCAAGCAGCTGGGATACAACAGTGCTCTGGCCGTCATGAAGAGAGCCATCCTGGGAGCTGCCGACGATAATGTGAAGATCCTATTAGACAATGTGGAGTGTACGGGCACAGAGGACTCACTGCTGGAGTGCAAGAGGTCTAAAGTAGGAGTGCATAACTGCTCCCACAAAGAGGATGTGGGGGTCATCTGTGGCAATTAGGATTAGGAATTCTATCAAGATAATCTAGGCCTAAAATTGTGTTCCAAAGTTCCAATAACATGATCTATAAATTTGGTGAATAGATGTAAAATAAAAGTAAATCTCTGTTTCTCTACATTTTAGTGGCATCACTGTGGCTGGGCTGGGCTCAACACTGACGACATATAAGGAACTACATCTCTGCAGATTTTAAATGAATTAAACTCAATTAATCTTGAATGAAAACATTAATTAAAAGAAATAACCTGGGGTTACATTGTTTTATTATTTTAGATTGCTAAAAAAATGCACATTTTGATTATTATCATAATACTTTGTGGTCTGTGAAGTACATTTGAATGAAACTTATTTTTTATGAATGAAAATGCTGAGCATTGATTACAATGAATGTAAACAATTAGCAGACAGTTTGTAGTAAAACAAATAAAGACAAGTCATGACTGAACCATTCCTTCCACCTGTTGTTCAGAGTTTCACAGTCTCTCGTGTATAGTTTATTATGTTTAACAAACTTTACATGTTTGTTACAACAGTCATTCTCTTACACACGCACACACACACACACACATGCGCACACACACACGCACACACATTTTCATTCAATGATATGTGGAGATTTGCGCAAAAGAAAAATATATTTGGATCATAATATTACATACTCTTACAAATGTAATGACTATATACACCTTTTTTGTCTTTTTTAAATAAGTGTACTTAAGTAATAATGCAACTTCTATTTCAAAATATGAACACAAGGTGGAGCTACAAGCTTAAAGTTAAAGTTGCACAATTGGGATCTCCGAGATATCTTAAGAGCACAATTGAATAGACACACATTTCATGCTTATAAAATAGAAGGGATGAATTGTGGTTCAAGGCACTACAAAAGGTTCCCGATTCCAAAAAAAAAAAAAAAACACAAACATGCTCACCCCTGCATAACCCCCACAGATGTGTCCCCACATTCTGCAACGATTCATGAAACTTGCAATTACTCTCCTGGAATGAGTTTCCTCTATTTTTTTTAACCAGGAGAGATTAGGGAGAGGGAACAATAAATGTAGCCTGGGGTTTGAGGATGTCCGTAAAAGTGACTCTCCCACAAGAAGGAGATGTAATGCATGACTAAGCACACTGTAACCCTTGGCTCACGTTAGTTTAGGTAAGGTGGAACTAAAAGTATAGACCAGTTGCTAGGTTCAAAAGGATTACAATAAAAACTACGGTGAATGCTTAATGAAATGGCAGGAGGCAACAACAATGTAAAGAAAAATGTTATTTAGTAAACAATTGAAAATAAATCAGTTCGATACAGTGTTCAACAAATGAGCATTGCAGGCAAATGCAAAACAAAAATATATCCCCAGTCGCATTGAGCTCAGTTAGTCTTTTATAAGTTGTAGTCAAGTCAATATTCTTTAAGTTCAGTTCTTTTCCTTCAGAAGTGGTTATTTAAGGTGTTACCACTCGGCACTTAGGAACGATGGTGGTTCAACTCGAATCCAGTTCTGGGCACAGGCTCGCCATCTCCATCCAGAGAGAATCCAAAGAATCCATCTAGGTTTTCTTTACCATGGAAAACTAGCCTGCACAACAATAATGGTATTATTGTTTACAGCTGTTATCCTATCTCTGCTATAGCTAAATCCTTTTTACTCTATTATCATGTTACAAAGTATACAATAATATTTTACATGCATGTTTTTAACTCAAATATCCTTTTGTATTACATGAAATAGTTTTTAATCCTTGTAAAACAAATGAAAATATCACTATCCTTTTTTAAACAATTATTTAACCATAACATTATGATTAAATATTTTTAACAACTAGCATATACATTTTTAAATGAATTTTAACTTGTAATGAATAATACTAATGAATTCAGATATTCCACTCCAAAATCAACAATTGTATCAGTAAAACCTTATCTGTGCTACTGGGTTTAGCATTACAGAAGGAATACTATACACTTTCATACAATAAACCATAGAAATGTACAATCAACCTCAAAATAATACTTACATATGACCAAAAATAGTATGAAACTAACAAAAAGTGCTTCTCAGTATAGTTATGAACTACATAGAATAAGGTAGAAACCATATTTAAACCAAAAATAGCTTTTACATTGCTAACAAACATAAAAAACGGCACTCGCGATTAGCGTTAGCATCGCGCCAGTATTAGCATTGCGCTAACACGTTTTTCTAGCCCTCACAAGGCATTGACTTACCAAGATGAGGTATCGTGAGGAACACAGCAAGGGCACAACCACACTGTCTCTCCAGCTCGTGCTCCTTCCACTTAATACAACAAACATTCCCAAATCAACAAAAAGACAATGTAACTATTTACACCATTTTGTTTTATCAAACTCACCAGACGACCCATAGAGTTTAGCATGGACCGTCTACAGCCTGTCTCGTTCATTCCCAGAGTGCAAAAAGACAGAAAATTCTCGAAAGATTCAGTCCGCCACTAGGGGGGCGGGACTAATACCTCTGAACCAATCACAAGGTCATTATCTCTCAACATGACCGCGAAACAGGAAAATAAAGTTTTAGCAAGGGGATCACACTTCCTCTTTTCAAAATAAAAGTACATACACATAAATACAGAAAAAGAAAATGACCCATTTTCTCTGAAGTACATTTGAATGAAACTTATTTTTTATGAATGAAAATGCTGAGCATTGATTACAATGAATGTAAACAATTAGCAGACAGTTTGTAGTAAAACAAATAAAGACAAGTCATGACTGAACCATTCCTTCCACCTGTTGTTCAGAGTTTCACAGTCTCTCGTGTATAGTTTATTATGTTTAACAAACTTTACATGTTTGTTACAACAGTCATTCTCTTACACACGCACACACACACACACACACACATACACACACACACACACACACACACACACACACACACACACACACACATACACACACACACACACACACACACACACAAATGCGCACACACACACGCACACACATTTTCATTCAATGATATGTGGAGATTTGCGCAAAAGAAAAATATATTTGGATCATAATATTACATACTCTTACAAATGTAATGACTATATATACACCTTTTTTGTCTTTTTTAAATAAGTGTACTTAAGTAATAATGCAACTTCTATTTCAAAATATGAACACAAGGTGGAGCTACAAGCTTAAAGTTAAAGTTGCACAATTGGGATCTCCGAGATATCTTAAGAGCACAATTGAATAGACACACATTTCATGCTTATAAAATAGAAGGGATGAATTGTGGTTCAAGGCACTACAAAAGGTTCCCGATTCCAAAAAAAAAAAAAAAACACAAACATGCTCACCCCTGCATAACCCCCACAGATGTGTCCCCACATTCTGCAACGATTCATGAAACTTGCAATTACTCTCCTGGAATGAGTTTCCTCTATTTTTTTTAACCAGGAGAGATTAGGGAGAGGGAACAATAAATGTAGCCTGGGGTTTGAGGATGTCCGTAAAAGTGACTCTCCCACAAGAAGGAGATGTAATGCATGACTAAGCACACACAGATACATTCCTCCAGTGTCTCGGCCTCTATTCCTTATTTATCTGCTGCTTCCTCCCACTGCTCGAGTGCAGGGTGAGGCTGGGGGCGTGGAAGGTCACCTCATGTACAAACCTTCATTTAATGATGTTTCTGGAGAGGGTTAAGAAATTAAACAAGATTCTAAATCAGAGGTCAGAAACCAGAAGTGCCCTTTCCTGTTCTTCTTAAGGGCAGCTACAGATTTGGCTAACATACACAATTTAACACATTTTAAGATGATTTTAGAGCCACTTTGGGTAATCTTACGCTTCCAATGACGTTAGGAATGATAAGGAAGACAGGTAAAGGGTGAGGAAGGTTGATTTCAGAAATTGGATGCACCCGAGAGTTGGCTGCCGCGAAACACAAGAAGTTGAGACTGGAAACACCTGTTTTGTTTTACTTTGTAAAACTCATTGGACTTATTTCCAAATGGAGGCTTACATATCTGCGCTCAAACTATTATCTGGACTTAAACATGAAACTGGTCTGAACTGAAGTGGTCTGTGCAGTTCATTAATAAGGTAAGGCCCATAACACACTGTTAAATGTGCTTTTGGACATGAAACAAATTCTGCTGTAGCCAAACAAATTGTGAATAAGCCGCTCTGTAGGTCCTGCTATTTCTATGATACATATGTACATCTGAATGTGGGTGAAGTCAGTGCTCACCAATCACCAACCTCTCTGCACGTCACCGTGTAAGGCCCATAACACAAATGTGCTTTTGACAGACTTTTGCGTTTGGCTTGAGCAAACAATGCGGACATGAAACATATTTCGCAGTTGCCAAATAAATAGTGAATAAGCCTGTAATACAGTATAGGTAGGTCCTGTTGAATATGTGTCAATCTGATTGGGAGGAAGTCGGTGGCTCACAATCACCAAGCTCACCGCACGCCCCACGCTATTTGCTTGTGTGCATTTGGATCAAAAGGTTGACCCCCCCCAGTCCCAAGTTTTCTTTCAACCTGCCCTAGGACACCAGGTCAGCCCGCTCTTCACGTCGCCGTGAGGGTTTTCACCCATCAAGGACTTCTCGGTCTAGAGTCGGGGGCCTTTGGTCTCGGACCCCAGACTGCTGAACCGAGCTTTAGATTGGCGGGTTGGAGGTGCAGCAGGGGTACTGGGTAGCATACACCACTGAAATGATCAATCAAATATGGATCTCTGAGGACAAAGGCAAGACCCTGTCAGCTTTGACAGCTCACAAAAAGTCAATTACATGTCATCATATTGGACAGGAGTTCTTTTGTTTTTAAAATATATATAATTACATTTAAACAGGAGTTCTTAAAAAGTCACTGCATTGGAGCGCAAACACCCCAGACAGACAGATAGATAGATTGGTGGGTCGACTTTATTCTCCCCTGAGGGAAATTCCTTTTCACAGACACTGTCACATATAGAAAAGAGAGGAAGGAGCTTACAATACAC